CCCCCCGCGGTAGACCCCCTTCCCCCTCGGGGTCCTGCCCCCTCATTTGTGTCCCAGGAAGACGCAGTTGAGCCTGTCGAGGTAGCAGTTGACTCTGGTGCTGCTAGGGGTGTAGAGCCTGCGGGTGCGGGGTCTGGGGGTGCTGAGCCCAAGCATGCGGAGCCTGGGGGTCCTAAGTTTGGGGGTGCTGAGTCTGGGGGTGCTGAGCCTGGGGGTGCTAAGCCTGGGGGTGCTGAGCCTGGGGTTGCTGAGTCAGGGGGTGCGGAGCCTGAGGGTGCTGAGCCTGCTCGTGTGGAGTCTGGCGGTACCGGGTCTGGAGGTCCTTCAGGTGCTTCGTCCTGGTGGGAGCTACCCTCTCCACAGGAGCTGCTCGAGTGGTGTGCTCAGCACTGGAGCCGTGCTGCTGGAGCTGGTGGTGCTGCCGGAGGTGGAGGTTCTACTGCTGCTGGAGGTGCTGGCGCCACGGGTCCCAGAGGTGCTTGTACTGGAGGTACTGGAGCTGCTAGGCCTGGTGGTGCTCTTGGTGCTGGAGCCACAGGTTGTGCTGGGGCTACTGGTGATGCTGGAGCTGGCGGTGCTGCTGGAGTAGGTGCTACTGGAGGTGCTGGAGCTGGAGGTGCTGAGTTTTCCTGTGGTCCTGCTGGGCCTGGAGCTCCAAGAGGTGCTGATGCTGGAGTTGCTGCTCATGGAGTTGGTGTAGCCGCTGGAGTCGGAGCTGACCCTGGGGGTGCTGGTGTTGTCCCTGCTGGTTCTAGAGGTGCTGCGCAGCCACGTCCGTACTTCGTTCCGCTCCTTGAGCGAATCTTGGTCTTCCGCCCTCTTCAGGTCCTGCTCCTTCCTTAGAGTGTCCACCGCTTGTCCAGTCTGAGTCACAGTTACAGCTGGCCTCCCCACTGCCTGCTCCTTCTCCCTACAGTGATCCTACTGGAGGTCTTGCTGAGCATCTTGAGCCTGAGTCTCGTCCTGCGTTGCCTATTCGTGCTGCTCGCACTGGTCCTCGTGTTCCGCATCAGCGTCATCCTGCGGTCCCAGGCACGCACCAGATAGCACAGCGTCCTTCCACTGCTCCACTGCATGTCCCTTTGCCGTCTCCTCTAGAGTCCTCTCTTTTAGCTCTTGCTGATCCAAAGTCTGACTCCCTTCGTGCTGCCAGTCCTACTCTTACACGTCTCCTGGCTACTGTTGTCACTGACCCTTCCTTTGAGTCCACTGCTGCGTCTGCCTTAGTTGCTGAGCTTGTCGACTTGGCAGCTCTCTGTCGTCTAGACTACATTGTTAGTCTTGTTGCTGAGTCTGAGTCTACCTGTCCTCCGTCCGTCGCGGGTGAGTGTTTTGGTGGTGCTCTACCTCATCTCGTTTCTATGCTGATTGCCCCTGAGAGAAACCCTAATGCACCAGACATCCCGACTCCGCGCTCTTATGCGGAGGCGATAGAGGGTTACGTGGCATGAGGCTTCAGTCAGCGGAAGGGAGTTGACTACTTTCAGATCTTCTCTCCCACCCTGAAGATGACCACTCTTCGGGTACTGCTGCACGTTGCTGATCACCGCGACTACGAGCTTCACTCTCTTGACTTCAGCACACCTTTCTTGCACGGCAGCGTGCACGAGGGGATCTGGCTGTGCCGCCCACCTTGCTTCACAGGGTCGTTTCATCCTGGTACTCAGTGGAGCCTCCGGCAGTCAATCTACGGTCTCCGCCAGGCGCCCCGAAAGTGGCACGCCACACTGAGGACTACATTTGCAGCTCTTGGGTTTGCTCCTTCTACTGCCGGCGCGTCGCTGTTTCTACGCACCCACACCTCTTTACCGCCGTTCTACATTCTCGTGTACGTCGACGACTAGGTCTTTGCTATTGGTGACACTACTGGACTCGCCCACGTGAAGTCGGAGCTGCAGAAGAGACACACGTGCACAGACCTGGGTGAACTGCGCAGCTACCTTGGCTACGAGATCACCCGAGACAGAGGACGGCGCACCATTAACCTGACTCAGTCACACATGGTGCAGCAGGTCCTTCAGCGCTTCGACTTCACGTACTCCTCGCCTCAGGCCATTCCTCTGTCTACTCGCCACTCGCTCTCAGCCGTGCCTTCGGATGAGTCTGTAGAGCCGAATGTCCCGTACCCAGAGCTTGTTGGCTGCCTCATGTACCTGACCTGCACTCGACCTGACCTTACATACCCTCTTAGCATCCTGGCACGCTATGTTGCTCCTGGGAGACACCGACCAGAGCACATGGCTGCAGCGAAGAGGGTGTTGTGCTACGTGTGCAGTATGTCGGGCATGGGGCTAGTGCTTGGAGGGCGACGTCGAATGGTCCTCACAGGTCACACAGACGCGTCTTGGGTTGACGACTTGGCTACGCAGTGGTCGTCACAGGATTACACCTTCAGCCTTGGTTCCGGCTGTATTTCGTGGGAGTCTACCCGCTCGTCTTGTGTTCTCAGCTCCAGCTGTGAGGGTGAGATCTATGCAGCGGCCATGGCTGCACACGAGTTATGCTGGCTCACCTATTTGCTTACTGACCTGGGAGAGCCGCCTCGTTCTCCTCCAATTCTGTACGTAGACAACAAGGCCATGCTGGCCCTGTATCGTGAGCATAGACTGGAGCACAGAACGAAGCACATTGCTCTTCGCTACTTCCTTGCTCGTGAGCTGCAGCAGCGTGGTCAGCTGCGCCTTGCTTACGTGGCCTCTTGGGCCAACACTGCTGATGTCTTTACCAAGGCACTTCAGCTTTGTGATTATCAGCGCTTTTGTACGATGCTAGGTCTTGTGCCTACTTGGCCTCACTTGCTCACTTCTTGACCTTGCTTGTACTGTGACATGTGTATACCTGCTCTTGCTTGTTTACCTTTATATATATAATCTTGCATGTGAACTGGCCTTGTGGCCTTGAACCTTGCAGCTTTGAAAATACTGTTGCACCATGCAGTTGGTCTAGGGTGGGGTATTTGTTTTACTATCTGTTTTATCAATATCCGATAGTCGATGCGCATCCGTAAGCTACCATTTTGCTTTCGAGTGAAGAGAACTGGTGCGACGTAGGGAGAGGTGGATGGGCGGATCAGTTTTCTGTTCAGTAGATACTCATAATGTTTCTTCATGTGTGTCAGTTGGGTCAGACTATGGTGTGTCCACGATCTTGTGTTCGTAGGTTTGAACTGTCAGAATCAACAACAGTGATTGAACTAGGAAAGAGTTGCATACATGTAGGAAACCCTATACTTACTGTACCCCATACTAACTACCCCACTACAGGAAAAAAAAACTGCTGCAGATATGACATTTGGCACACCCCCATAGGCAAAGTGGGGGAGAGCAACGGGTCACAAGACCAATCAAGAAAGGCAAACCAAGCTCAGGGTGGATCACAACGTAACTACACATACTGAGCACAAGCAAAGGGCCACAAGGCCAGTTTACATGCAGAGGCAGATATGCAACACAAACATCACAGTAATCTCTACCTAGCAAAGCTAGAATGCAGGTATATGTATATGGATCATAGTACAAGCAAAGCCTACAGCAAGTGAGGAAAAGTGGGCACAAGCCCTAGCATAGTGCAGAAATGCTGATGATCACCAGACTGAAGTGCCTTGGTGAATATATCAGCAGTGTTGGCCCGAGTGGCCGCGTAACGCAAACGAAGCTGACCACGCTGCTGCAACTCTCGAGCTAGGAAGTAACGTAGAGCGATGTGCTTCGTTCTGTGCTCCAGTCTGTGCTCCTCACACAAGGCAATGGTAGCCTTGTTGTCGACGTACAGCACTGGAGGAGAATGAGGCCGCTCCCCCAAGTCAATCAGCAGGTAGGTGAGCCAGCGTAACTTCTGTGCAGCCATGGCTGTGGCGTAGATCTCAGCCTCACAACTGCAGCTAAGAACTGAAGACCAGCGTGTAGAACGCCAAGAAACTGAACTAGATCGAAGGCTAATGGTGTAATCCTCTGATGACCGCTGAGTAGCCAGGTCGTCAACCCAAGAAGCGTCTGAGTGCCCAGTGAGGACAACTGAGCTCCTCCCTCCAAGCACAAGTCCCATGCCTGATGTACTGCACAAGCAGTGCAGTACTCTCATGGCAGCATCCATGTGCATCTTTCGGTGCCGACCAGGAGCCACGTAGCAAGCCAGAAGGCCAAGAGGGTACGCGAGGTCAGGACGAGAGCAAGTCATCAGGTATATAAGACAGCCAACTAGCTCTGGGTAAGGACCACTCGGCTCTATGGACTCGTCCGCAGGTGGAGTTGAGAGCGAGTGACCTGTAGCTAGAGTAGTGGCCTGTACCGGTGACCAGGTGAAGCCGAAGCGCTGAAGGACCTGGTGCACCATGTGTGACTGAGTCAGTGTGATTGTGTGGCATGCTCTATCCCAGGTGATCTACAAGCCAAGGTAGCTGCACAGTTCACCCATGTCTGTGCACTTGTGTGCCTTTTACAGCTCCGACTTCACGTGGGCAAGAGCCTAAGTGTCAACAGTGGCAAAGACCAAGTCATCGACGTACACGAGGATGTAGAACGGCGGCAAGTGTCGGTGCGTAGAAACAGCGACGGGTCAGTAGTAGAAGGCGCGAACCCAAGAGCCGCAAGTGTAGTCCACAGTGTGTCGTTCCACACTCACGTGGCGCATGGCGGAGACCGTAGACTGGCCAACGGAGGCTCCACTTGGTACCACGAGGGAACGACCCAGTGAAGCCAGGAGGGCGGCGCAGCAAGATCTCCTCGTGCAGGCTGCCTTGCAAGAAAGCTATGCTGAAGTCAAGAGAGTGAAGCTCATAGTCACGCTGAGCGGCAACGTGCAGTAGTATTGGTCATCTTCAGGGTGGGGGAGAAGGTCTGGAAGAAGTCAACTCCCTCTCGCTGACTGAAGCCTTGAGCAACGTAACGAGCCTCGAAGACAGATGGAGAACCTGGCGGCCGCTTCACCCTGAAAATCCACATGCCACTGACGATGTTCGCCCTGGCAGGGGGAACCTCGTCGACAGAAGTGCGTGTGGACTTCTAGGATGCCATCTCTGCATCCATGGCTGACTGCCACTGAGAGGAGTACTCACCCGCGATCGCCTCAGGGTAAGAGCGCGGGGCCGGGATGTCTGGTGCATCAGGGTCTCCCTCAGGTGCAATCTGCATGGACACGAGATGAAGTACATCAGTGGCAAAGCACTCAAACTCCTTCTGCCAGTCCTCAAGGACGTCTGTGCGAAGAGCACACTCACCCCCGACAGACGGAGGAGAGACAGACTCAGACTCAGCAACAAGGCTGACAGCGTGGTCTAGACGACAGTGAGCAGCAAAGTCATCAAGCTCAGCAACTAAGGCTGACGTAGCAGCTGAGTCAAAGGAAGGGTCACTGACAGCAGTGGCTAGGAGACGCGTGACAGTAGGACTAGCAGCACGGAGAGAGTCAGACTCCAGGTCAGCAAGGGCAGGAAGAAAGGATGCAGGAGGAGAAGGAGAGACCCGCTGCGGAGCAGTGGAAAGACGAAGCGTCAACTGGTGAGTGCCTGGGACAGCAGGAGGACGCTGACGGAGGACGAGACTCAAGCTCACGATGCTCCGTAAGACCTCTTGTCGGACCAATGTAGGGAGAAGGACTAGGAAGTGGCGAGGCAGGCTGTAACTGTGCGTGCGAATGGAGAGACGGAGGACACTCTAAAGAGGGAGCAGGACAAGGAGGAGGAGGCTGACCAAGAACCTGCTGAAGGAGCGGAACAAAGTACGGTCGCGATCGTGAAGCGCTCGCAGAACCCGCAAAGACAGCACTAGAACCCCTAGCAGCAGCTCCAACTCCCGGAGCACCACCAGCAGCTCCAGTAGTGCCAACTTCAGGACCCCCAGTAGTACTCGCTCAAGCCGCATCGTCGGCTCGAGCACCTGCAGGAGGACGAGCGTGAGCACCTCCAGCTCCAGCCCGTGCAGCACCAACCCCAGGGTCAGCAGCTACACCAACTCTGGTAGGCCCAACGGCCTCAGCTCCACTTGCAGCCCTAGCAGCTCCAGCACCTCCAGCTCCAACTCCAGCACCAGTAGCACCTCTAGCAGCTCCAGCTCCAGCAGCTCCAGCACCAGCAGCTCCAGTAGCACCAGCTCCAGCTCCAGCAGAACCCCCAGTCCCAACAGCTCTAGTACCGCCTGTGCGAGCACCTCCTGGACCAGAGGCTCCAGTACCTCCAGCAGAACAAGGGCCTCCAACAGGCGGCACCCCAGTGCTAGGAGCGCCGCTCCGGAGGCTACAGCGTTGAGCGTACCACTCACGCAGCCGCTGTGGGGAGGGAGGCTGCAGCCGCGACACAGCACCCGCAACACCACCAGCTCCAACTCCGGTAGAACCCCCAGCTCGAGCAGTCCCACGCTAGAGGCTGCAACGCAGAGAGTACCACTCACGCAGCTGCTGTGAAGAGGGAGCGCCACCAGGTGCAGCACGGTCAGTCGCAGCTCCCCTTGGCTCAGCACCGCCAGTCTCAGCACCTCAGGCTCAGCACCCCCAGTCTCAACACCCCTTGGCTCAGCACCCCAAGTCTCAGCACCCCCAGGCTCAGCACCCCCAGTCTCAGCACCCCGAGACGCAGTACCTCGCGCAGGACCAGAGTCGACAGCTACCTCGTCAGGCTCGACCGGGTCTACCTGGGAAACACCCGACGGAGCAAGACCCTGGGGAGGTAGGGGGTCTAACAAAGAAGCATCTAGTGTGAGGAAGAGCGGCGGAGGGGGGAGCGGGGCAGTGCGGTAGGGGAAGAGACGGTAAAAGGGGACCGACTCGTCAAACCAGGCTAGGCACCTAAACTGCCAGCCAGGCGCGTCAGGGACAAAGCCAAGGAAGACACAGGGAACGGCACGGGAGGAGAGCTTGTCCGCGGACGTATCACGGTCAAAGGCTCGACATCCCCGGACCCGGAAAACCAACGCATCGCCATTCTCCCGCGTCCAACGCAGTGTGGGCAAGGTCTCCGGAGCAGAGACACGGGGCCAGAGGTTGAGCTGATGCACAGCATACTGCATTGCAAACGGCCACAGCAAATGGGGTGCGGCCGCATAGATCATGGAGGTACGAGCGACCTACGTGACTAAGCCAATGCGGCGCTCAGCAACCCCATTCTACTGTGGAGAGGTCGGAAGCATGAACGTCTAGCGGATGCCGTGCTCCGCACAGTAGGCTGCCAAGAGGTCGGAGGAAAAGTCACCACCCCTCGCAGAGGAAGACCGTGGTGTAGCGCGTGTAGTCGTCGACGACCAGCAGGAAGTACCGCTCGTGGCCCTGTCCACGGACGCGGGCTGGGCCCCACACGTCCAGATGGAGAGTCTGCAGGGGAGCCTCTGTGGGAGGGAACGAGGAGTGAGGAGTGGCGCGCTGCCGCCCTTCGATACAGGGAGGAGCAGGCGAGGGTGGGAGGGGAGGGAGAACCCTGGGAAGACCAGAGATAAGGTACTGAGAGTGCATGCCACGAAGGCGCTGCACTGAGGGGTGACCAAGGCGGTGGTGCCAGAGAACGGTTTGGTGCAACAGGGTGCCAGAGAACAGTCTGGAGCAGGGGGCGGACAACTGACCTGACGCAGACGCAGACACCGCTACGTGAGGGGACTCAGTGGTCAGTGTGTACAAGTCCGACCCCGGCTATCGAGTGAAGGTAGCCAGGTGACGACCCGTCCGGGCACATGTGCAGTGTGTTACACGCTTGTAGGCAGGGGTGAACTGGTGAACACCCGCAACCTGGGGCGCAAAACCCGCCATCAATTTCTAATAAAAACAAGGTGGGGGGTTTAAGGCCCGACTGTGTGCCGGACGGGACAGCAGGACAAAGGAGGGCAGTGGTGGAGGTCGCAAGGACCGGACCCCCAGAGGGGTCAGCCAGAGAGACAGCAACCGGTCTAGGGAGCTGCTCTAGGGCAGTGCGGTCGCGAAAGAAACAGCGGGAAGCTCCTGAGTCCAGTGTGAAGGTGTGCAATGCCTCACTAGACGGAGTACCTGAAGGCGCAGACTCACAAGCATCTGAAGCAGCAGACTCACAAGCGCCTAGAGCAGCAGCCCCATCAGCACGTGGAGCAGGAGACGCACGAGCACCTAGAGCAGCAGCCTCACCGGCACCTGCAGCAGCAGACTGGATACCGGGGTCAGGCGACACACACAGGTGACAGGCTCCCTCGGCACTAGTAGGCAATGCATACATTGCAGTGAAAATAGCATCATAGTCAAGAGCAAAGCTCTCTACCCTCTACCTAAGTAGCTCTACCGACGCACGAAGTTGCAGGGGCGAACGAGTCTTGCGGAGACGTCGGTGGTGCTGCACCGGGCCACTAAAGAAACTCCCAAACTACCCACTCCAGGACTACTCCTACTACTGCCACCCCGACAACCCCAACTGATGTACCACTCACGAAGCTGCTGGGGCGTGAGGGACACACACGGACGGCCCTGGAGTTGCATTAGGCCACGCCAGGAGAAGCAGTGGAAGCAGTAGCAGCAGGAGCAGTAGTAGCAGTATGGGTAGGGCAGCGCTCACCAGTGGTGGGAAGGGCAGGCGCACGACGGGGGGTGACTGCGGGGCCGCTACAGCGGCAGGGCGGGGCCGCGGCCGCAGCAGGGGGCTCCACGGCAGTTGCTGCAGGGCGGGACCGGGGCGCGACGGCAGCTGCTGTAGGGGCGGCTTCTCCAGAGGCCAGGGGCGGCTGCTCTAGGGGCGGCTGCTCCAGGGGCGGCTGCTCCAGGGGCCAGGGGCGGCTCCTGCAGTGGCGGCTGCTCCAGTAGCAAGTGGCGGCTGCTGTAGGGGCGGCCGCTCTAGGGGCCAGGGGCGGCAACAGGTGCGGCTGCTCCAGGGGCCAGGGGCGATTTCTGAAGGGGTGGCCGCTCTAGGGGCCAGAGGCGGCTGCAGTTGCGGCTGCTCCAGGGGCCACGGGCGGCTGCTCCAGGGGCCAGGGGCGGCTGCTGCAGGGGCGGCTGCTCCAGGGGCGGCTGCTGCAGAGGCGGCTGCTCTAGGGGCGGCTGCTCCAGGGGCCAGGCGCGGGGTAGGGCAGGGCGACGCGGCGGGCAGGGGCGACGTCGTGGGCAGGGGTGAGGCGGCGGGCAGGGCGACGCGGCGGGCAGGGGCGACGCGACGGGCAGGGGCGACGCGGCGGGCAGGACGACGCGGAGCTGGGCGCGGCCGCGTTTGCAAGGCGCGACCGCGTCAGCAGAAGGGCGTGGCCGCGTCAACAGTAGGGCGCGGCCGCGTCAGCAGAAGGGCGTGGCCGCGTCAGCAGTAGGGCGCGGCCACGTCAATTGCAGGGCTGGCGGGGCTGCGTCACTGCAGGGCGGAGCCGCGTCCACGTCGGCGGCAAGGCTGGGCCGCGACCGCGGCAGGGTGGGGCCGCGTCAGTGACAAGACGGGGCCGCGACTGTAGCCTGGTGGGGCCGCGGCAGCGACCTGACGGGGTTGCGCGCTGGCCTGACGGGCCTGCAGAGGCTGCGTGCGGGCTGCGAGGGCCTGCAGGGGCGGCGCGCGGTCGGGGAGAGGCTGCACGCAGTCGGGGAGGGCCTGACAGGCCTGCAGGGGCGGCTCGGGGGCCTGATGGGCCTGCAAAGGCGGCTCCGGGGCCTGACGGGCCTGCACGGGCGGCTCGAGGGCCTTACTAACTTGCAGGAGCAGCGCACTGGCCTAGGGCAGTAGGAGGTAGCGCGAGGGCTGCAAGAGGGTGCGCAGGCAGAACGAAGGGCGGGGCGCGCGGGGGCGCAACAGCAGAAGAAGGCGCACGAGGGTGCACGACGGCGCATGTAAGGTAGGGCGCACGAGGGCGCTTCTAGCGGAATAGTGGGCCCGTATTAGTAAGCGGTCCTAGGTGGCAACCTAGGCTCGTGATACCATGTCAGAACCAACAAGAGTGATTGAACTAGGAAAGAGTTGGGTACAAGTAGGAAACCCTAAACTTACTGTACCCCATAGTAACTACCCCAGTACAGCCTAAACAAACTACTGCAGATATGACATTTGACATGAACTTATGCTGGTAGGTCATTCGGCATGATGTCCTTGTACTACTCTAGCACCTCCTCTACTTCTGCATGTAGTTCCGAGTTCGGCTTCTCCCCCTCTGCCACTACCATCACCAGTGCTAAGTAGCCTGTGTTACTCTCGTTTACTGTCCGTTCGAACCATACAAGTGTCGTTCCAAGAACATCCCCTATATTCGTCTAGCTTTGCAGCTCCACACGTTTCCCTTTGTTCTAGATGCACGCTTTTCGATTTACCCAGTCGATCTCGGGGTTGAACAGTTTCAGAAAATCACGCTCAAAAATAAAATCCAATCCTTTGATGTTCGTGATCGGCAACGCCGGCTACCACCTCAACACCCCTATCTACAGCTGCAGTGTTGACTCGCCGTAGATGGGAAGCTTTGTGCCGTCCACCATCGTTGCTGTAAATTGAGTCTCATCCAATGACTTCTCAATTTTCTCTAACGTCGCGTGGTCGCACACCGAGTGGGACGCTCCACTATCCTCCAATGACTTGAGGAATCGCCCTTTGTAGATCACCCAGAGGAGCAGTGGTTTCAGCTGCGCTAAGCAGAAAAAAATAGTGTCATTAATAGGATCATAAGGTACATCAAAATAGTCATAAACCCTATTTCTTTTACCTGACTCAGCACTCTTTGCTTCTTGCTTCACCTCGGGTGTAGAAGGATTTTTCCGAGGCTTGTATAACTTCTCTTGAGCCTGGAACCTTCCCCTTAGCCTTTGTAAGTGAGTAGGCTTCACCTGTGGGAAATGGGGAGCCTTAACACGATGCTGTGGGGGGAGAATGATAACTCCTCGGAACGCTCAACCCTTTTGAACGTCGTTCCCTTTTGAATGCTCCAGAGTTGTTTTCCCAACTTTTCAAGTACCTGAATAACTTCTAATGGCTATTTCTTTCCCTCTAATTCTCCCCTAAAATTCTCAAAGGCTTGAAAACCATGAGAAGTAACATTCTTCGTTAATAAATCTGACAAGAATGTACGGAGCTGCAGGGCAACAACAATACAAATGAGCCGCCTCGTTCTCCTCCAGTGCTGTACGTGGACAATACAAATGAGCCGTCAGTGACCCTTCCTTTGATTCCAGTGCTGCGTCTGCCCTAGTTGCTGAGCTCGTCGACTTTGCTGCTCGCTGTCGTCTAGATTACGCTGATAGTCTTTTTGCTGAGTCTGCGTCTGTCTGTCCTCCGTCCGTCGGGGGTGAGTGTGCCCTTGGCACGGACGTCCTTGAGGACAGGCAGGAGGAGTTCTAGTGTCTGGCAGCTGCTTCACCTCATCTCGTATCCGTACTGCTTGCCCCTGAGGGAGACCTGGATGCACTTGACATCCCGACTCCGCGCTCTTACGCTGAGGCGATAGAGGGTCTCTACTCCTCTCAGTGGCAGGCAGCTATGGACGCAGAGATGGCTTCCTAGAAGTCCACACGCACCTACGTGGATGAGGTTCCCCCGCGTGGGGCGAACATCGTCAGTGGCATGTGGATTTTCAGGGTGAAGCGGCCCCCGGGTTCTCCGCCTGTCTTCAAGATGCGGTACGTGGCTCGTGGCTTCAGTCAGCGGCAGGGAGTTGACTACTTTCAGACCTTCTCTCCCACCCCGAAGATGACCACTCTTTGAGTGCTACTACACATAGCCGCTCAGCGCGACTACGAGCTGCACTCTCTCGACTTCCGCACTGCTTTCTTGCAGGGTAGCCTGCACAACGAAATCTGGCTGCGCCGCCCACCTGGCTTCACTGGGACTTTTCCTCCTGGCACCCAGTGGAGCCTCCGGCGGCCAGTCTACGATCTCCGCCAGGCGCCGCGTGAGTGGTACGACACACTGAGGACTACGCTTGCGGCTCTTGGGTTTGCTCCCTCTACTGCCGACCCGTCGCTGTTTCTGCGCACCGACACTTCTTTGCCGCCGTTCTACATCCTCGTATACGTCGACGACTTGGTCTTTGCCACTGTTGACACTGCTGGACTCGCCCACGTGCAGTCCGAGCTGCAGAAGAGACACATGTGCATAGACCTGGGTGAGCTGCGCAGCTACCTTGGCTTGCAGATCACCCGGGAC